GACGAAGGGGCCACACATGTTTACCGGAAGAAAGGTAGCCTCTCTAATACATGGTTCTGGAAAAACTGGCTCTCCAAAGACTAAAACTAGACCCACACCCATGCCTATCACCACAATGCACTAAACCAAAATCAAAATGGTCAAAGATCTAAATACTAAAACAGAAACACTAAATCTACTGAAAAAGAAAGTAGGTAAAAATCTTGAAGACAGGAGTAGGCAGAGAGTTCATGAATAAGACAAACTTTAGGAAGTACTTTACAGAATCAGCTGGGATCATATCTTCTTAAGAAGCTTTTTCAGATCAAAAGAAATCACCAACAGAGTAAAAACCCACAGAATGGGAAAAAAAATTTAGCCAACTGTCTGTCAGACAAAGGACTTCTACCTAGAACATATAAAGAATTAAAAATGTCAGATCTCACAAAGACCCAATCCAAAAATGGGCATCTGAGATAAATACATACTTCTCAGATGAAGAAATACAAGTGGAAAATAAATATATGAGAAAAATCTTCAACATCATTGGTTATTCAAGAGATGCAAATTAAAACAACACTGAGATTCCATCTCACCCTAGAAAGAATGGCTATCATCAAGAAACCAACCAATAACAAATGCTGGTGGAGCTGAAGGGGAAAAGGAACCCTTCCATACTGCTGGTGGGACTGTAGACTGGGGCAACCACTGTGGAAACCAGTATGGAGATTCCTCAACCCAGCTATTCCCCTTCTGGGTATCTTCTCAGAAGATCTGAAAACATCATGCCACATTGATATATGTACACCCATGTTTATAGCAAAAAAATTTGTAACAGCTAAATCTTGAAAACAATCCAAAAGCCTATCAACTGAGGAATAGATTAAAAAGGTGTGGTATTTTTATACAATGGAGTATTACTCAGTCACAAAGAAGGATCACGTTGAGGCTTTTATAGGTAAATGGATGCAAACTGAGACCACACTCATAATGAAATAAATCAGACTCGCATGTGTAAACATCATGTCTATGTAGTGTGAGAAGCTGAAAGAGTAAAAAAGATCCAAAATGTGCAATAGATATTGTGGAAGGGAAAGGGAAAGAAACTGCTCAAAAGGAAAGAACAATTGAGATGGGCAAAAGGAGAAAAGAAAAAAAGAAAGAGATATAATTATACTGCTAATCTCTACCAGAAATAGTTTGTGCTTTGTTTGATCAACTTGTAGAGCCTATATCTTGTAACCTGAGCAACTACTTTACAGATAACAATATGCAATATATTAACCATTGTTAGTCTCCTATTATTTTGTTTTGAAATTCTGTATCAAGGCTGCTCTGTGGGAAGCCAAGAACTTGGGGTCCTTAGGGTTCTGGGTAAGGAGGTACCTTGGTGCTTATGAGTGCAGAATGATGCCCAGGGCCAGGCAGCTCTCAGGTCCGCTGCACCCCAGGTTTCAGCCCCAGCACCACAAATAAAAAAAGAGGCTCTGGTCACTGTTTCTATGAATCTGCAGCACAGCACGTCCTGCTGAGCTGACCACACAAAATGAAACTTAGCATGAAGCTGTACTCAGCTACTGCACCCCTTATCCAAGGACCCCGACTCGGGGATGCCAAGGTCTCACATTTCGGGGAGAAGAGAAATTGCTAAACACTGGGACGCCGTGAAAACTAACTGCACAGGACACTTGCGACCCAGTGAAATCCACGCTGAGTTCAGGGTGAGTCAGCTCCTGGCTTAGTGGTCAGGGCGGAAGCACAGACTGAAAACTCTGGGTAGCTACCCAAGCTTACCTGGGAAGGCCCCTTCTGAGGGTGAGAGGGTACATTCTTTGCTGCTGTCCAGTATCCGAGCCACACTGCCCACACACCCAGCCCACCAAGGTGTGGGGCTGCACCTGAACCACGGCCGCACCCGCTTTTGTGTATTTTTAAGTATCTCAGGCTGGGCTCAAATTTGCGATCCTCCTTCCCATCCTCCCCCAGCGTCACTGTGCTACTGACACTCAGTGAGGGGAAATTACTGCTCTTTGGAAACATGGGAGTTCTCCTGCTTGGCAAGGGGCCTGCTTTAACTGCCTGTGTCAGTGTTTTTAGGTTGGAAACGATGTTTGCCAAATTTTACTCAAATCTAAATATGCAGTTATTCTTTCAGTAAAGAAATGGAATTCAACAGTCCTTTTATTCCAGTGCATGCCAGAAAATACATCCAAATTTAAAAAAAAAAAAAACAACTTTCTCTTATTGATTGTATTAAGGTGCTAACAGTCACATTGTCAGTAGGTGACACTTCTCACACAAATGGCTGATACACAAGCATACTGAATTTATTAAATACTGCTGACCACTGGCAGCTCTTTCTCTTACCATTTATGGAATTCTTCCATATGACTTCTCCTCCTTCTCCATGCTCCCACACCTCCCTTCCCACTTCTTTTTTAAAATTTCTTTCTGTATCTGGTGACTCTTGATTGTGTGCTTAACCTCACCAGCCTCGCCAGCTCTGTGACTGCCTGAAACACCTGAGGCGGGCACTGAGACAGTTAGAGGCCAAGTTCACCTCAGGGGAGCCCACGGCACTGTGGGGGAGGCTCATTGCAGCAGGGTGCCTGTGGGTTCAAATCACACTTGAATGGGGGCAGCAAGGCTGGGGTCCCCCGGCCCTCTGCGGGCTCAGCACCTCACAGGAGACCTCTCTGCTGAGCGGCACCCTGCAGCCAGGCTGGACAGAGCCCCTGTCATCATGTACTCCAGGGACACGCAAACCGCACAACCACAGCCGCCACTGCAGAGCAAGCAGTTCGGTGCTTCGGTCCACTGGCGCGAAATTCTGCTCTATGCACGGTCACGCAGCGAGCTGTTCTCAGGTCTCCTGAGGCTTGGGCGGAGACCTGCTCAGGTCTCCTTCCCAATGCAGGAGGGCGCAGCCCTCAAACCCAGAGCCACAGAGTCTGTGGAGTCCACAGGGTGGGCTAGCAGATTCTGCATCGCCATCCTTCCTGGAGACTGAGGACCAGACCTCCCACCTGCTGCCTGCTTTGGAGAGCACTTTGTAACTGTCCAGCATCAGTAATTACTTCAGGGAGGGTTGGACACAGGCCACTCCAGCTTGGCCTGACTCAGAACAGAAATCAAACCACCTGGGCGCAGCCCCATCGGCCTATCCAGGGGGCACCCCGGGGTCACCTCTGGCTGGAAAGCGGCTCGCTCTGCCTTCTGGCAGCATCAGAGTGATACTAGGGGCCTGAACCCCGCAGCCTGGGAACACCAGTCCCCAGGGGCCACAGCTTGCTGTGGTGGCCGGTGAGGCAGGAGGGCAGCAAGCAGCACTGCGTGGCGAATGTCACCATCAGTCCTCAGCCAGGTCTCAGATTCAACAGTGAAATTTTCTGGTCACACATTTGTGAAAACCTCAGCAACACTGCCAGCTCCCACCTGAGCACTCTGCACTCATCAGCGGCTGGCTTTTGGTCAGCTGGGTAATTACTAGCAGGTCTTTCAATTCCATTCAAGTACCTGCAGGAAAAACTTTTGAGGCATTGAACACCTCAGACTAAATTCATTGCACTTTTCTCCTCCTCTAGTTAATGTTAACACTTAAATGTATCCAGGTGTTTTATTCTAGGGTCCACCTAAACCTGCCATAGTCTCTCCACCGAAGCACAGCTTTTCCGAGAGTTTCCTCCTCTTGTATGCCTCCCTTGACCACCTCTGACCTCTGCTGTCCCACACATCAAAGGCACTGTAGACCCGTTGGGCAGGAGGTACAGCTTCTAATCAGGCAGGAGACCCACAGAACCTCCTTTGCATGTGGTTAAATGGGTACCGAGGGCAGGCACGGTGATCCACACCTGTCATCCCAGCCCTCTGGAGGCAGGAGGATCACTGTGAGTTCAAGACCAGCCTGGGCTACGCAGTGAGACTCTGTCTCAATAGGGCCACAAACCGTGTGCTGGGAAAGTGCGACCCACAAATGACTTTCAGCTTTGTGGTCTCCATCTGTGGCAACTCCCGGCAGGCTCACCCCCACCCCATGCACTCAGGTCCGCTGCAGTCTCCGGACCCTCTCCCAGCCAGGCCCTTGATGCCAGTGCCCCAGTGCCCGGTCCTCAGTGAGGGCCTCAACACTCAACGCACGCGGTATCTGCAGTGAGGAAGCCTCGCACAACACGGGCTCTGAGCACTATGCAAGAATAACGTGCACTCAGCTGGGAGACGGCACCAAAACATCCTCACTGCAGAGGGCACAGACACAGACAGAGCCCAGCCGGGCTGCCCCCAGGGGACTCCTCCCCAGGGGGATCCAAGCTTGTGCTGGTCTCCTCAGGGAGAACACAGACACTGGCCAGAATTTTCTAGAATGTTGCTTCCTACAGTTCGGTGGCTCGATGGCTCCTGGCCCTCAGCACCTCGAGGCAGGAGAGGACATGAGGCTGATGGCCCGTCACTCACAGCGCGCAAGGCAGGCGCCGGAGGGGCGCAGAGAGTGGCAGTTTGCAGGTCACAGCCCATCTCAGTAGGAGAAGAAACGAGGCTCTGTTCCCCCAAAGGCCAGGTTTACTGTGTTTGACTGAAGTGTGAGAAGGAGCGAGGGCTCAGGATTAAGAGAGGGGTGTGCGGTATCCCGCTCTCCATGGGCCTCGTCTCAGACCGGGGGGAACTGGAAGGAGTGCGGGCCCAACTCCGGGGCTGAGAGGTCTCAGGGATGCATGGAAGAGCGGGGCTCGGCACCCCAGCGGCCAACCAACTGGCACCCTGAAAACCTGGGGCCTGGAGCCTGCACCAGGGAGAGAACAGACAGGGCACCCTCCCCAACCCTGGGTCCACAGCAACAGTGGAGCCGCCCTCTTGGAGCCTGAGCGAGGCCCAGCTCCTCTGAGGGCCTGGGTCCCAGCGTGCACCCCAGGATCCCTGCCCCTGTTTCCTGGGCCCAGTGACACCCACTTCGCGGGAAGGCCCTCTGGGCCTTTGTGACCAGAGGCCTCTGCCTCACTGCAGGAATAAAAAGCACGCACGGCTCATTAAGAGTATCGGCAAGGCTTCATGTTATATTTATTTATTTTCCAGCTTGTACAAACTGGATGTAAGAAGCATAAACATAGTACATTTCTACCGTCTTCAACAAAAATATAACCAATATGTACAATTATTGTATTAAAAATACAAAAGGGATACAGACTCCACCAATGTCTTTCTAAAAGACATACAGGTACAAGTAGTATCAAAAGTATGAGGAAATCACCAATTAATTGTACATTCTGCACTTGACATCACAGAGTGAACTGAGATTAGCAGTCCTATGTTCTACAATTACTTAATGTTTAGGGAACATTTGTGCAACTTGCGGTAGAGCTAGATTCCTTTCTAATATGCACATGAGGTCCATAGCCTATATAATAAAACTGGCAAATAATGCATATTCCATGTAAAATTACAAATGTATAATTGACAATGTAATATATAAGCAAGTAGACAAATGCCATGAGACAGAGAATTATTAAATAAAGCACTGACATGGTTTGATACAGTGAAAAAACACTGCAATTTGACTTTTAAAATTTGAAGCTATTTACGTTTATCTACTGATCAATATGATCAGCTGAATTCAATGGAAACCCAAGACCAGCAGCTCCGCATGTCTGAGTACTCCTCGGATTGGCAGCCTTCACTTTCCGGAGTCTGTGCAAAAACGACCCCAAATAGAGAGGGGAGTCCCCTTGAGTCCTCGGGGCCTGCAGCAGCTGTGAGCAGACAGTAGCCTCCGTGCGCCCCTCCCCCCCCACCAGGTACTCACCCACATGGCCAAGGCAGAGACCCAGGGCAGGGTGGGTTAGTCCCTGGGGACAGGAAGCGCAGCTGGCATCAGTCCCAGGGCCTGTGCTGAGCTCACTGCGAATGCTATCCAGTTACATGTGTTTCTTCAAAAAGACAGCAAAACAAAAAACTCGGAAGCTCTAAAGTAACAAAAATCAAAGAAATATAACTTAAGGGGTTGCCACCTGTCTCAGTGGAGCAGGATACACCCTGGGTGATGGCCTGCTGACATGGAGCAGGCAGGGGCAGAGGCTGGACTAGAAGGGCCAGGCCTCCCCTCCTGGCTGCGCCCCTACAGAGCATTTGGGTTTTTAGAAGCCCAGGAGGCAACCTACATAAGGTTCAGAAATAATACTGCAATCATTAAAGGGCTATAACATTGACTCTTCGAAATCATTTTCAAAAGGAGCACTGTAAACAAGAAGACAAGCACTGCGCTCTAAGGGTCTCCCATCCGTTCCTGGGGACTGGAGGCCCCAAGTCTCCATGGCAGGCTCCGCTCATCATCCTGATGACACAGAGCCCTGGGGCTGGGCTAGGATCCGACAGGGAGGCCATTCAAAGCCTTCCTTCTGGGCACCAAGAGCTTGCCGAGGGAGGGGCTCCGACGGGCTGCAGCATCGGAGATCTGGAATGATGCTATGCAGGCGAGGCCCGCTGCACTCAGAGACAGCTGCTCTGTGCATTTCAAGCAACAAAGTCTGGAAAGTGCCGGTGAGGTCTTCACAGTATTCACATGCAAAGGGGTAGAAGGAGCAGCCAACAGCTGGCTGCAGGCAGGCGAGGTCCCAGGTCGTAGGGCAAGCTCTGCTCCAAGGCCCAGGTTGGATGCTGTCCTCTGTGCGCCCTTCTGCCTGGCTTGATGCCCGGGCCTGTGCCTCACACAGCGGACACCTGCTCATCCTCTGCAGGGCAGCAGGGGAAAAAACAGAGAGGCCAGTGAGTGACCCACACGCAAAGCTGGCTCGCCCAGAGCCCTGGGGGCTCTTCCAGACAGCCTTCAGCAATGAAAAAGATTCAAGATCTCACACACACACACACACACACACACACACACACACACACGCACGCACGCACGCGCGCACACATCTTTGAAGAGCTACAACTTATACTAAAATATTTCTGTTTACATGTAAAGTAACTTCTGTTTGAATTCATGGAAGAAAGTTACAAAATGGCTGTGCTGATATTTAATGACGCAGCCATACACATTAAAAACCACACACAGAAATGTTAGAAAAGGGTTATCACTGCATGCCAATCATGAATTCACTCTCACTTGTTATATTTGGCTTTTTCACATAATGACCATGTAAAGAAGAATGTTAAACTGAAAACTTAAAAAAAAGAAGGCTCTTGTTCTTCAACCTCAATCCAAACTCCGCAGGTAGATTTACACAAAGGCGGTGAAAGAGTTACAGAGAGGCTGGGTGTGCTGGGCCAGCGGCCTGTGATCCCAGCATCAGCAGGCTGGACAAGGAGGATCCCAAGCTCCAGCTCAGCACAGACAACTTGGAGCCCCTCTTAGACATGCATAAATGAAGGCAGACAGTGTGGGAAGTGCTCAGGAAACAGGGTCTGTGTCCCATCCATGGCACCTTTAAAACAGTGCCAGGAAATGTATGCAGCTGTATTCTCTTTCAGGTCCCAGTGCCTCTAAGTCCAATATAATGTTTCAGCCATCTATTTTACAGCTCAAAGGGCTTCTTCAAATTCAACACAGTACAGATGTTTATACTTATCCTTAACATAGGGCTGTGGAATGCCTTGATTTATTAAGAATCAGAGAAGAGATGCAGGCGGGTGGAGGGGGGTGGTGCAGGGAGCTCAGGGTCTCCCCTGCTCCGGAAGCTTGCCCACCAGGTGGAACCTGCCCATTCGGGCCCAGCCTGGCCCAGCGCTGCCCCACCGACGCCTTCCACACCTACCGTCTTCCTCCGTGGAGAAGCCCTGAGCCTGGTAAGGGGCCAGACGTGGATCAGCCTCACCCAGCTTGTGCCACTGCGGCCTGCTGCCCTGCCTGCTGCCTGGTGCCGAGGACGAGACCTCCGCGGGCCGCGCCACCATGCGCGAGCGCTGCAGCGCCACGGTGTAGTCCGGTGGCCGGCGTGCTGGATGCGGAGGCGCCTCGAAGTCTGAGATTGGGATGCCCACGTAGCCAGGCGGGGTTGGCGGTGGCTCCCGGTACCGGCCCTCCTTTCGTGCTGCAAGGAAGCCGGACCTGGTTAGGTGAAGCGGGGGTTCCCTGCCCCGCTGCGGCAGTCCAACCCCCGACACTGCTGGGCTGCTCGTGCACAGCGAGCTGCGGGCCTCTGAGCACGGCTGCCTTGCAGAAGGGGACCCCTCGAGACCGGGGTGGATGCAAACCCTGGTGCACCCAGGCCCACGACTGCCCGGTGTGGCTCAGCTCCTGCAGGGCAAGGCACTGGCTGCCTGGCCAGCCTCCACCTCCAACAGGCAGGTCGAAAAGCTGCAGCACTCCCAGGCCCAATGGCTCTCTCCGGAAACAGGGCACGGAAAGAAATTTGAGAAAGCAGTATCTCCACCCCAAAATGTCACCTGAACAACTAAAACTGTAAAGTGTTTATGTTTCTGAAAATCCTTTTAATTAACGTTGATTAAAGTTTTGTGTTGAGCTAACTCAAATGTTAGGAACTAAATCCTTTCTTCACAATAAAAATTCTGATACTCAGTTTTAACAGCAAGTGCTTGAGAAGGCTGTTCAGCCGTCACCTCCTCTGTCACACAGGAAGGGCATGAAAGGGACGCCTACCGAAGGCTCCGGACAAGGCAGCGCAGCGAGTTCGAGGCCAGCCTGGGTCACACAGAGTCTGAGACCTGAAGCCCAAGCCAGACCAAGCAGTTTCTCCACTAACAGAGGGGCTGCGTCCTGTAATGAGGATTCTTCAGCTCTCGCTCCTCCTGCCCCTACACACTCCTCACCGTTCCCCTCCAAAGAGCTCAGGTCACCTTCTCCCCAGAAGGAAGCAGGCATTCCTTCTCTGTCCTCCCCATCCTCCCCGCCACACTAACTCCAGCAGGGAGGTGGCCCATGGGAGCAGGTGGGTCCAGCATGCCAAGGGCAGAAACTCGAGACACAATGGGGCCTCCCTGTTGCACACCGGGGTGCCCAGGAAGGGCCAAGAAGCCAGCCTCAGCAGGTGAAGGCCCAGCTTCAAGCAGAGCTCAAGAGAGCTGTAAAGCAGGAGTTGGAAGTTCCAGTGAAAAGCAAGCACTTCCCTGCGAGTGCAGGTATCTAGCTTGGTTATTTTCAGACTACAAGTCCCGACCCAAAACACCGGGACCGGGAAATATGCAGTGACCACAGGCACAGAGCCAGCTCAGCACTGCTACCACAGCCAAGTTCCCCACCCACTGCCACGCTGGGTGCCCTGGGCAGCCTAGGACAGTGGAGCAGCATCGCGAGGTCAGGTGCACAAGCACGCAACCTGGACCTGGGGAGGATGAGGTGAGAGGATTCTATCCCAGACTTACCGACCAGCCCCTTGGCAGCGCTCGAGGTGGCCGCCCCGTGGGCTGGCACAGTGCCAGCCTTGGGCTCCTCTGTGGGCGCGGGCGCCAGGCTGCTGCCACTCTCGGCTTCCAGGGACACGTCCTTGCCGCCCCTCCGCTTGATGGTGCCTGTGTCCCCTTCCGCATCTTCGCCCCAGTAGCCAGTGGGAGAGGCCCAGCTGGCTCGGGACTGTGCCTGCTCCAGGCTTTCTCTACTTGGGTTCTGCCTGCTGCCCTTCTGGCCATGCTCGGCAAACATCGTGTGGTCCAGGTGGCCTCCGGCAGCCCACAGCCCCGTGGGGTCCCCAGGGTAATCGCAGGGCGCATGCCCGAATGGCAGCGTCTCCCAGCTCCTCTGGTGCTGGATGGTCTGGATGTTGTCGTGTGAGCCACTGGAGCACGAGGTCCAGCTCCCGCGGCCGCTGTCAGCAGCGTCCAGGGATGCGCGGTCACCCTGGTCCTGAGAGAGCTCCTCAGCGCTTGGGGAGGTGAGCACCGTGGCTGTGGCGAACATGCCCCGGGCCTCAGCTGTGGCTGCATAGGACCTGTGGGGTGGTTGGGACACAGGAGGGGCTGACTGTGAGCCTCTCCCTGGCTCTGCTGTAGAGGTTGGGGTGGTCCATAGGGCCGAGAGGGCCAGTAGGTCAGCACGGTTTGTGGAGAAGGGGCCATGAGTACCCGAGGAGGGGCCAGGATGGGGTCGTCCCACGGGGCCCTTACACGGGCCCCAAGAGGGCCAGGTGGTGAGGGGTAGCAGGGCGAGGAGGCGGGTGCAGGAAGGGCACCCACCCCAGGCTGTACTGGTCTGGCTCTAGCACTGTCCGCCGCTCTGCCCGGCCAACACCCAGGCCGCTCTCCACCAGGCTCACGGAGTGCCGCTGCCTCCGCTCCTCGTGCAGGGCCACGGGCACCGAGTCGAAGGAAGAGTTGCTGACGATACTGGACCTAGAGGAGATCTCGCTGTGGCCAGAGTCGGAGAAGTTGTCCACGGTCCCACTAGGGGCCAGGGTGTACCCTGCAGGAAACACACGGGAGACCCGCACACGATGGAAGAGAAGTCAAGCAGAAGCACACCGCGCTCACTTGGATTGGACCCCGCAGGCCTCAAAGATCGCACTCCTGTCCTAACGAAGGAGGCCCTTAGCTAAGGCAGGGACATCCGATTGCTAGTGCAGACACAGAAGTCAGGGCTGTGCCAAGCAAGCTCAGCGCCCACTGTCAGCCACACCACACCCTGTGGACCAAGGTCACTGCACATGGAAGCAGGATAGAGGGCGTCTGCCTATGTGCGAATCAGCATTAAAAAGTAGAAATCTCATTTGTGTTGTTTTTTTGAGACAGGGTCTGTGCATTCAGGCTGGCCTCAAAGTTGAAGCGACCCTCCTGCCCCAGCCTTTTGATAGCTGGCACAGAGTGTAGGGGTGCACCACCACGCCATTAAAATATGAATATTCCTTTTCCACACTCATTTTTTTCTTTCCTGCATTACTAAGCATGTAATCATGTTAGTTAAAAATGATTTGATACAATGACATACCATATAAATTTTTAAATGCCACTTACTACAAAATAAATAATATATAAATAAATCTGGAAGACCTAAATTTGCCAATTTAAGTAAACTGGTAATTCCTGATTTATTTTCTAAAGGTCACATAGGGTCTTGGTAAGATTTAATGTGTTTACCTATGAAATGTCTATAATCACACTGCAAGTCTTGCCAGATGAAACTTAAATCATTCTTCAGAAGTCCATTCCAAAACCAATCTGTCTCTGGGAAAGAGGGCAGCGCACAGCGCCTGCCCCTCAGGCATTACGACCCGGGGACTCCAGTTCCCAAAGCTCCACCTGCCCTGGTCCCATGCCATCCTGCAGCTGGCGGTGCTCACTTCCCAGGAAACAGGAAGAACCAGAGAAGTCAAGCTGCCCAGAGCCAAAGCGCTTCAGCTGAGCGCAAGTGCCACTGACCACAGGACACAAAGTCAGTGCAGACGCAACCCCCAACTGGAACTGGCACTCAGAGGCCACAGTGAAGCCTGGCCATACATACACCACTTTGGGACTCTACAAGTGACAATGAGGCACAGCCTTGGCTGCCATCACCCAAGGGGGAGGAGTGAGGGCCAGGCCCACGGGTAGGGGAAGGGGACCAAGGCCCGGGCACCCCGACAGACACACACCAGGTGCTCAGCCCTGCAGTCCTCCTCCCAGTACTAACGTTAGTCACACAAGAATGAATTTTTACATAGAAAGAATTCTTCCCTCATTTACGATTAATAAAAAGACAAATGGATGTTTAAAAGCACTGTGTAAGTGATAAATCTGACATACCATAATATTAAAAAGAAACAGGAAAATGCTTCCCAATGCTTAAACTGAGGGAAGGCCTGTGAAGGCACCCTGAGCAGATTAAAACCTGTGCAATCAGCGAGAACTTCTGTGACTGTAGACAACAGCGCCGAAACCCACCATGGCCGCCCTACCTTTCCTGGGCGAGCTCTGCGGGGACGTGGGCGGGGATGAGAGCTGCGAGGACGCACTGGACAGCGTGTCCTCCGCCTGCTTCCGGTGGCGCTCCAGACTGCCTTCTTCAGACAGCGAGAGGATCTTTTTTAAAGCTTGCGGAGAGTTTATGCCTACAAAAATAAGCAAATAACTAAAAACTTCTAACAACTAAAGGGCTATATTGAAATTCAGTGCTACTGTAAGGTTCCACATATTTACAACTGGATGTTCCTTGTACCGTCACGATATAAACAGGTGAAGGAGGCAGACATGCCTCTGCTCAGGCTTCTGATTCCCAGGGCCAAGAAGTGGCTGTGGATGTTTTAAATTCCAAACCTCTGACACCATAACCATGTGCTTGGCAAAAACCAAGATTAAGTGGACAATGTGCCAACATCTGAATTCAGGGCTCGGTGGAGTTAACTTCAACTCCAGCTTGGGTTGGAAGCAGGTATTTGGTAATATGGGGCAGTTCAGCTCTGGGGAAAGGGGAACACCAGGAGAAAAGCAGAGGGCCCAGAGACACGGAGCGGATGGGGGAGGCAGGATACAGCACCAAAGGTCCTCATCAGTAATGTACTCAGTGCACAGAGGAAGAGGAAACCAGCTGCCTCTTCCACAGAAGCCAGGAGGGCGGCTCCCAGGGTGCGCGGGCCTGGCCAGGGAGGGTGCCTGGGTCAACACAAAATGACCCCTCCATTATTGTCCAGGAGTACAGAAGACACTTTACAAAGCTTCTCCATAGTATTATGGGCGTCCTCAAACTCCCTCAGTGCTGACAAGCAGAGAGCTTTCCAGAAAGGAAGAACAGCCCCAAACCATGTCCCCCCTTCCTGCCAGCATGCCATCTCATGTAAGCAGCCTTCTGCACTCTAAACGGCGTCTCTGGGGAAGAAGCGATACTGTCAGGCACAGCGGTGTGAAAACTCCAAGTGCCCCAAAGCTACAGGCCAGCAGGCAGTCGCCTCAGGCTGGCAGGGCCTCAGCAGAGTGTCAGCACTTCACACATGGCGCCCTCCGCACAGAGGGGCAGGGTACCTCGACCACACTCCTCCGAGCCGCCTCAGGGAGGATGGAGGTCAGCCAACAGCGCCCAGCACAGAGACCGAGGGACCTCACCCAAGGCCCAGCGCGTCTAAGCCAGCCTGCTGTACCCTGGTAAAAACATTCCTTATTTCTGTTCAGGTTACTTCCTTCCACAGACAGGCAGAAGAAATAGTGGGCACACTTTATGAAAGCTTGTTCTGTAGTGCATCTATTTGAGAAGGGTAAACCAATGAATGCGCTGTTTTTAAGGAAAAAGATGAGGTATAATTTCATTAACCTGCGAGCTCTGTCCGTATTTCCAGTGCCTGAAACTTGCAGAAGTGGGAGCTCGGTGAGGCAGAGCTGTGCCCATGGCCGGCATGCCTGCAGGCAGGCTCCGAGGCCTGCTACTGACATGGCTGAAGCCAGCTCGGTTCGAGGCACTGACCTGAGAAACACTCAGGCCACGTTTCCCCAGCTCACCGACCACACAGTCAACAGCGAGGGTGAGGAGACGACCCCCGAGTGCTCACACACCGAGGGGGCTTCACTGCTCCACTTCTTCCTCCCCGTTGTGAGGCACAGACCCCGTTTATCTAGAAACAGTCCCTCTCCGTGCGGAAATCTTCCCTTTTATTCAGGGAAAAGAACCCCGAGAGATTCTGGGACAATGGGCAAGGTGCCTGGGACACCGCTGGCCCCACACAACCAGGGGCAGGCACTCACCGAAGGGCGGGAGGTCCTTGACAGGCACCTTCTTCCGGGATGGGTAGAGGGACACGGCGGGCACCTGCAGGCCCTGGCCAAGCTTCTGCACTGGCTGTGGCTGTGGCGGGGGCTGCAGCTGAGCCTTCTGCTGCGTCCCTGCCCTGGGTGCCACCGGGGAGGTCTCAGATTTGACAGGCTTTTTGTCACCAGGGTTCTTGGGCACTGAGAACAGAGAATGTAGACATCAGAAGTCCACAGTCAGAATACAAAAACACACATTTTTTCCTGCTGCTTTATAAAACACAAACTGCCAGGAATGGGGCTGTAGGCCTGTAATCCCAGCCCTGGGGAGGCTGAAGCAGGAGGATCACATCAAGGTTGAGGCCAGCCTGAATGACACAGTGAGTTCAAGGCCAGCCTGCACAGTGAGATACTGTCTCAAGAAACAAATGAAGATAAATGACAAAAACTGGCGAGGAAAATGCTCGTCATAGAAAACATGAGAAGTATGGCAAGATAAATATACAATAACTATATTAAACACCAAATTAAAAATAGAAACAGAAAATGTGGGCAATATTATATGGCTATAGATAAAAAGCAAACATGGTAAGAGGTACACAAGAAAAATCATGAGGAATTACTTCTCTTACTGGTCCCCATATCACTCTGACACACATAAGCTGAATTTTAACTGAGTAAATGGTGTTAACTGTACTCTATTAATCGTCAGTCTCCTGTGAGGGGAACTCTCCAGGGAGGCAGACACTGACAGTTCACAGCCTGCAGTGCTGCAGGGTGGGCATGGAATTCCAAGTGCACGGCAGCAAGCCCGCGAAACAAAACAGTTAGATGCTGTCTGTGCAGAGTCCTAACAGCCCATATGCCCATGATGCGTGCATCTTCCACCTTACACCCTCGAAGGTGGAGAATCTGGACACCAAGCAACTCCCCTGAAGCCACAGGGTCACTGCGCAGACAGCAGGAGCTGAGTGCTACCCTGCAGCACACAGCTTCCACTGGCAGTGTACTGGCTGCTGTCCTCATGAGCTCTTCACAAACCTCAATCTTGCCAGCCATTGTCTTTCAAAGCAGCCCACAGGAGACTGGCAACTGGTTGGTTTTTGTTAACTTTTGGTTTCATTTGCGGCACTGGGGACAGAGCCAGGCTGACACTGCACTGCTCCAGCCCAGCCTGCTTTTCACTGCTAAGACCAGGGCTCATTGTGCACACATGCGCAGAACACCTGCACTCAGGCAGTCCTGTCTCAGCCTCCCCACGGCAGGCACCTGCCTGGAGGCACACAGTCTGACCAGATTGCACTGGACACTGGGTAGGCTGTGGTGAGACTGAAGGCAGCCCGATGAACCCACAGTGTCCTCCTGCTCGGGCCCCGCACCTGGGAGAGGCTCAACCCGAGCACCTCCTGTTCTGCTCCTCTGCCCCTGAGCTGCTGCCTGCAGGAGGCCCACAGCCACCTGGGGAGGGGTGGGGACTCACGAGTGCTGCTCGCTGGCTCACACTGCAGCGACAGCGTCTGCAGGCTCTCCTCGTCCATCTCGAGCTCCAGGTTGGACAGGTACTGCTTCACTTTGCGAGCCATCTGGGCATCCTCGTAGAGCTTCTTGGCATTGAGGAAGGAACTGCGGCGCACCCGCTTCTTGTGCCCGCCTGTCTGGGCGACATCCAGCACTGCTGCGTTTGCGCTGCCCTGGCTGAGGGACCTGCAAGGGGGACAGGGAGAAAAGAGGCCACTCACTCCGGCAAGGGCCACGGCAGCTGCACGGCACTGCTGAGACCGATGGTGTCTACGCTGGGAGTCACATGCGTCATTCCAGCAGCGCTTGTCAAAGGGAGTTGCGGGAAAACAGAGAAACAGGAAACAGACCACTGGCACCTGGTCTACTCCAGCCGGAACTGGCTGTGTCTCTATAGCATTCAGGTCCTCTCACAGAGGCAGCAAATGACAGTCCCAGAAAAGCTCATGCAGGAAGACATGGCTCCACACAATCTGATTTACCATGTTAAAGTTACTTCTCTATGAGAGGATGTTTTGTATAGATTTAAGTAAATTAACTACAAGGTTCACAATTAGTTCCTTATTCCTTGAGTAGAATGAGATGAGGTTTTAAGTAAAATTATCAATCTGTTAATACTATAGTCATGCAAAATAAACATCTATATATGGAAACAACTTAGCACATGGATCATTAAGAATTATTTTGAATAAGGATTGGTTTATATAGAATGAAAATAGTAGTTAGTTGAGCTGTAAAAAAATTTGGTTTTCACACCTGGGGGCACCTTTTTTATTTATGTATATTTACTTCTAAATAGCTGCACAGTAATATTTAACCACACAGATTTTCCTAACGTCCTCCCCCACCTCCATCCTTGGCTTTTCTCATTTTAAAGACACACGAATTATTTGAAAATAGAATCTTCCTGGGAGCTCAGAAATATGCCTGGCCTACAGTTCCCCAGAAGAATCCTCAATATTTTCACAGCTCTGGGGGGCGCGACTTCAGGAGCACACAGAGGACAGCTGCAGTCAGTCTGAGCTGGAAACCGCCAGAGCATCGAGGCAAGGTACAGAGCGCACGCAGGAGAGGCACAGGGAGGAAGGAGGCGGCAGCTGCGCGCCCCACCACTTACCCCAGACTGCGCCACTTCTTCTTCCTGCAAGTGAGAGCCGAGGAGATGGAAGCGAGAGTGCAGAGAGAGACAGAGAGATCACAGCTCAGAGAGAGAGGCCTGCACTTCGGGGAAGCCATCCCAGCAGCCCACAAACCTTCAACCCACCACCACCTTCCTACAAGCACTAGTTCTGGCTCAAAAGACAAGTGTCAAGTTCTTGTCCTAGAGAAAGACAGGTGAGGTCTGTCTCTCCGCCGACTGGATTGGGCAGAGACTGAGGCAGTGCCACCTGGGGCCATTACAAATCTGAGTGTACACCACCCCTGAGGAGTCACGGCTCTACAAGCCAGTATCCTCAGGAACAGCGAGAAATGCTTGTGCCTGACATGACACAGAGGCCACGCTTCTCTCACTGGAGTCAGTCCACCTAATGCCATATAAGGCTCAATGGCAACACTGGACCCAAGGTAATTTCTGCCCTGGAAAAAATGAGTATATACCCGAAAACCTTTCTCACTGACGGGGAAGCTTTCAAGGTAACCCTTCTAGTCCCATTCGCATCGTGGATGACCCACTCACCGAGTCCTGAACATGAGAGCCGGGTCCATGTTTACTGAGGCCATACGGCCCACGTGACGAATTTCCTTGGCAATCATCCTGAGCTTCTCAAAGTTGACCAGTCCATCTACTTTTGAGTCATTTCCTGTAATTTGGCACAGGAGAAAAAGGAAATCACATGGCACCTGGTGTCTGCTTCTGATGGACATGCAGGTAGAAACCAGTGCCAACCTACCTTCGTGCAGGAAGGTGAGATCCTTCTTGATGACTGGGAACAGGGGGATGATGGGGGGCTGCAGGTTCTGACTGTTGAGGACATTGCGGTACTTGGCCATGTTTCTGGAAGGATCAAACAGGTCTTGGAGATCCTGAAACAGCTTTTCATATTTATTGGGAAGTTTTTCCCAGGTGGTCCGAAGTCTTGCCACTGGTGCCAGGTTCAGGCCACTGACGGAAAAAGGAAAGTGGGTCAGTTAGACGAGGCCTCCTGAGGAACTGCATGGTCCTGTCCATCGATGGGTAACAGAACCACACAAACATGGCTACACACAGCCATCTGCAGCGGGTGCCGGAGGAAGGTCCTGATGACTCAAGTGAGGCCAAGGCAGACAGAAGCAGGTTCAGGCGTGGTCGTGGCCCACTGGTCTCTCTGTCTCCTAGAGCTCAGATTTCCTTCAAGGCCCAGCCTGCAGAGCCGCCTGAGGTTGGGAAGGAGCCTGCAAGAGGCAAGGCCTGGAGAGCAGGAGTTGGGTTCCAGGTAGGGGGTGGGACCCGCCTGGCCCTGTCTGCATCCCAGCCCTGAGGGGAACAGCCCTGTTCCACACGGGTCTGAACAACAGTGCCTTGCCATGGCCCAACTGAGGACACAGGGACACCTGCAGAATCACTCTCCAAGCTGAGGGGCACAGGTGTTCCAACCACAGCAGAGAGATGACACAATCAGCAAGACTGCTGTGTAAGTACTGTTCTTTCTGCACAGACAGAGTGGTATTTAGCCTTCACAGGCAACTGACAAAATGACAGAGCAAACATTCCAGAGCATTAAAACTAAACAGAAGTCACAGCAGTCATTAGAGTATCACAAACTCTGGGCTGAGAAAGCGACTAATAATTTCCTCAACATCAACCTGACTCAGGGCGCCCATGTGTACTTTCTCCTGGGCTCAATCCAAGCACTGATCAGGGAGCACAGTTTACATTCCCTGGGCATCTGCCTTGTGCTGCCTGATGGAAATTCACATGCATTATGTCATTTAATATTCTTGGTAACTCTTTGTGGTGTTGTTATTTTATACGAAATAAACTGATATCCAGAGGAGTTCAAATGGTTTGCCCAGAGTTTACAAAAGCAGAAGTGCTAGATACAGACTCACCACTCTCCCAACCAGCTCCTGGAGTCAGTAAATTAAGCATTAACCACGGGAGAGAAGCACTTTGGCTTTGAGTCAGTGACAGCCCTGCAGGTGTGAGGGCCTGGGGTGGTCGGCTAGCAGCTGCAGGCTGCTGGGCCCTTCCGGGATGGAGTGACCATGGAGGGGACACCTTTCCAGCGGAAGCAGTACCTGTGAGAGCTGGTAACCAACTGCCGTGCTCACCTGATGATGGCGAACATGGAGTTGAAGTTCTTGCACTCCCTGCAGTGCAGTGCTATCTTGATGAAATGCTTAATGATCTTCATCCTCTTCAGCTGGTTTGTTTCCCTGAGAATCTCCGAGGCCACCCAGAAGGTCTCCTGGTTGATGACCTCCTCGAACATCTTCAGGTTGGCACAGCTGGTTTTTGACCTCAACTTGAACAGGTCGTCGATGTACTCGGTGGGCTCGATGTTCCGGAAGAGCTCAAAGTTGCGCATGGAGAGCTGTGTGGAGACCTCCACGGTGCTGAGCTGCAGCAGGGAAATCTGGCTCTCGCGCAGCAGCTCTTGCGCGTCCTCATCTGAGCACAGGGTCTCTGTCTCCATGTTGTTTTTCAGGTAGTACCTGTTTTTGGAGAAACAGAAAGGCGTCCAGCAGGAAGCCCATGCCACAGCCCCCCAACACCTTCGCTCTTAAGCACGGTTCAGAGACACTGAGATTGAATAGCAGCAGAGCTCTTTTCCACCAGGCCAGGGGGTGCTACCCTACTCACCAGATCCCAAGGCACCCACAGAGAATTTGGGGGTGGGGTGAGGTGAGCAAAGTTCGTAGATTTTTTTTGTAACATCTATAACTATTCTCCTTTTCAAATTATTTTACCCTTTCTGTTAAAGATGACAAGAGCTAGTTTTCAGTTTAAACAAGGACATGGGCCCCAAGCAAAGACGCAGAAGGCCACACAGAGCCATCAGTGAGGGGAAGAGCAGAGCTCCGTGCAAACCAGGCTGCTTCAGACTCAAACAGCCAGGAACCCTCAGCTGTTTCCCTTCTGTTGGATCCTGCACATGAAACAATCCTGAAACAGATTTTAGTTATTTATTTGGTACCAGGGATCAAACTCATGACCTCATGCCTGCCAGGAAGGTGCTTATACCACTGAGCTAAGTCCCTAGCTCCTGAAACATTTTAATGCTTAAATACATGGAACTTCATAAGAGGTGCCCAGGACAGTGGGGCAAGAACAAACCCTATGTGTCAGGTAGAGAACAGGACCCTAGAGCAGCCCAGAGCTCAGTGCTGGGCCATCTATTGTTTTTTTTTTAAAGCAACCTGTTAAAAACTATACTCGAATGTTTGCTCTTGGATTTATTTTCTTGCCTTCTCTCTTTAGAGAAAGCAGACTCTTTCTCTCTGAGTGAACAGCCCTTGTGAGAAGACTGAAGGTGCACACAGAGGCCCCACTGCACAGTGCTTTTTCACATGCTCTAAAACTTCTAAGACACAACCCGCATGGCTCTGCCCTCAGCACTCCCGGCCAGCGTACTGCCCACTCTGATCACTCGCAGGGCCCAGGACAAGGGCTCACCCATCCTTTTCCTGCATGGTGAATGTGACCACGAATCTCAGAAAAGCATCACGATTACGGAATTCAAATGAGAACCAAGTGAAGCTAACTTCTCAAAATGCAACTGCCTGCTAGTGCTAGGCTTGCAAATACAGGAGTGAGCCCCACAGTTACAGCTGACAGCAAGCAAACACGGCCTGAATGAATTAAATCACAATTTAGATCTATTACATGGAAAAATCATGTGCAGTGCACCACTTAAAAAGTTACTATAAAACTACTTAAATTTGTATTTAGGGCAAAATCCAGTCATTAAGTGTGTGCCAAAACTTACACGTTTTTTCAGCTTTCAATTATTTGTGGATTACGGGCAAATCCCTGTCAATGGGACTTCACTACGCGATGAGGCAATCAGCACAGTAACACAAAAGTGCTCAGGAGCCTGCATCCCAGGGCCAGCTCAGCAGCTGCTCCAGCCTGGTTCCTTGGTCAGTCAGCCCATCCCACAGCGCCCCCTACCCTGCAAGGCCACAGTCTACCCTACATATCTGCCTGCCCTGGCCTTGTGCAGCTCCTGAGGTCGGAGCAAGGGAGTGCGCGCACACACACACACACCCAAGTCCTTCTCAGGAATCCACACCAGCTCAACTCACACGCTGTCAGCCAGGGACTCGATGGGCAAAGCTAGGAAGCCAGTGCCTGTGTTGGCCATCAACAGCAGCCCTCAGGTCACACTGATAAAAGGTTGGCAGTCTATGTGCACATTGACCCAGGAACCCCAGCGTGTGCGTGTGTGTGTGACCTAAATTATAATCTCCAGGGGCTCTTGGTCATTCTAACCCCTCCAACGTGCTGCATGGTAGACAGTGTGTACCTTCCACTCAGCTGTATTCTGTCAGCAAGTTTGGAGAGCTGGTCTGGAAGTCGCCTTTGTTTGATGACACCCTCTGGGGTGACGGAGACCTCGCACAGCGAATACTGATCTGGAGTGGCAGTGATGGCAAACTCCCTGATGGCCTGGATGACCACTTCCTTTGCCGTGGTATCCTTACTGATCATGATATATCGGCTCTGCTGATCAGCCTTAAAAACCCTCAGCACTTGATCTGGCAAGTCTGGAGGAAAAGATAAACCACACAGAAGTAAGTGCAGAGCATGCAACACACTGCAATGAGGTGACGTGATCTGAGGAGGAGATGCTCCCCAAGAAGGGGAGGGTGGCTGCCCCCTGCCCCGGGCTCGAGATCTGTGCAGATTCGACCCCCATACTGTACTGCAGACTACCCCTCTGCCTCACAGAATGCTATAACGACCTGCAGACAGATGCTAACGGCCCAAGAACAGGATGACCACACAGTGTCTAATCATGGGGCATCACCTAGATGTTACAGAAAGCAGGAAGCACTGTGCGCTCACCAGGAGTGGCGCTGAAGTCCAGGATCCGGTGATGTGACTGCAGCAGGTCGGGATTGCTGGAGGACAAGGTCCCGCTGACAGGCAGGGCGGCTGGGATGTGCTTAGTCTGCCGCAGCCCCACTATGCTGTCGTCCTGGGACTGACCAATCCCAATATCACTGCAGGGAGGAAAGGCAGAAGACTTGATCGGCAAGTTACAATGTTACTAGTCAGGTTCATCAAGCTCTCAATGCTGTTTCCTGAGTCTGCCCTATGCTTCTCTAATGCTTGTCTTTTTCACTACATAAGCTGCAAGCATTGTAAGTAATTTCTCAGTATAAAAATACTTTCAAAGAAATATGACCTTCAGTTTCTGATGGCAATGGATTTAAGGGAAATAAGCACATTATGAAGAATATATTCAGCCTCACTTATCCAGTGCTTTTACTGGTTGACAGGCTGAACCTTAAAAACTGAAGTTGAATAAAATAAGAAGAGAGGAAATCCAAACTGCTTTAGTTGTACTCACCAATGTTTGGGGGAAATGAGATCACTATGGAGGTAAATGTAAAGAAGCCCTGACATGGGTATTATTTCTTAATCAGAGGACATAAAAGACCCAAGACGCATGGTGACATTTCCTAATAGCAAAGAAAAGGAATCCAATGGAAATCCAGTGACTCATTTTTAATTCTCTGTTCAAAGTTTCTAGTTATACATTTTAGTTCCCAGAAAAATATTGGGAACTAAATGGCTACAAATTTATTTCCATTTATAAAAAGTGCTGCTGTAGGTAACTCTTGAAATATGATTTAATGATATATAAAATATTTCTAGATTAAAGGGTCAAGTATTTCCACAACAAAACATCAAGTAAAATACTGTACCTGAAAATAACTAGGTTATAACAAATGGTTGTAATACTAACTAGTTTCTGTAACTTCTTAGAAATAAAAAATTGGTAATGTCATACTAAGACTGTGATGTAACTAAGCCATCATCAATAAGATAATGTGAGTGTAAGGTGAGTTCAGGAAAATGCTACATTTCTATTAGAATACACATAGGTAAGTACTGAAAAACTAAAAGTATGATCATTTTGCTGAAGATAAAAAGGTAGAATTTTCAAGCAGAATTTTGTTTTATAATCATGTTTTACAATCCTGTCTCTGCCAATACCACACAGAGTCCACAGCATGCGATCCACAGCAAGCGATCACTACGGGCTGGGCCACTCCTGCCCCAATGGCCATGAAGCCAAGCACACTGCATTCCAGGGGTTGCTCGGCGACACTCCAAGGCTCCTCAGGTGATGATCTGACTGAACTCTGTCAGGCTGTCCTGACTCCTGGACTGACAGGACCTTGCACCAAGACATAAATCAGAACCACCCTGAGTGAGCACAGCCAATTACGGCTGGACCTTGCCAAGTCTCCCGCTGCTGCTCCGCCTTTGCTGACTGACTTCTGCCTTCCCCTGGGCGCACCAGGCTTTCTCCACCTACCAGCAACCAAACTTGCGTAAGGCTTCTGTCCTACCCTTTCCTTCACCCTGCGCATATCACTCTACCACAGCTATCCAGCATCTTAGTGTCTCTAAGAGTTTAAGGGAAAAAACCTTAACAGTAGAACAAAACTTGAAAGTATCTGAAATGTATAGTTTAGTAGCTTTGTTAAAAAAACAAAATCTTTGCAAGCTAGAGGTGTGGCTCAGAAGGACGATACTTGCTTAGAATGCACCAGATCCAGGATTTCATCCCTAGCACAGTAAAAAAGAAAACAGCCAAGAAGACCTCCATGAACACACACTAACTTCTAGAAAAGTTCACTGATTTGCTTTAAATCAGTTTATTAGGTGAATAGGTACAATAGATGCAAATAGGCCCTCTATACCTTGAATTACTTTTTCCATTTCAATTACTTCATACACTTTTTCAAATAATTTTTGTAAGAAAATATTTAAGTGAGCCATATAGCTAAACGATTTCCTCAGTGTTTTAAAATCAAGCTAATTCCCTTTTTGCTCTTGTGCAGATTTTGACAAAGAAACAAAAGACAAAGACAAAGAACAAAATTAGACACAGCACACCTGTGGTACAGCTCCCGGTTGGGCCAACACCACGCCTGGAGAATCAGCACCCCAACCTGGGCATCACACGGATGCTTCCCAGGGTCACACTGATGTCCACCTCATCTCTTCCAAGGATCGTATTTAAGTCATGGTCAAACACAGCTCTCAGATCTTTTGCTGCTGTTGTTATGTTGCTAGTAATGCTGCATTAATGCACTTTACTTTGTAATTCACTTAAATGTAAGTTTTTCATCCACAGTCACGTGAAAAATTGATTCGTTTCCTATAAATGCCAGCTGTCCCAATCAACTGACTCCTGTCAACTTACTATGAGCATTTCCACAAGTGTCAATAAAGTCATTACTTGCACACTTATCCTAAAACAGACATTTTCACTGAACCACTGGTTCACTGGCTGCCACAGGAGGTTGACACTCAGTTCGTGGATAGTAAGCTTCAAATCTCTCTAATCTGTGGATGAAAATTTTATCTAAAATGGAATTTTCAAAGCAAGAAAAAAGATGCTTAACTTAATCCTAAGTGTCTGTAGATATAGTTCCTTGTTAGACACATTAAACTGTTCAAGAAATAAATTAACCCATGTTTTTCAATGTGCTACCCTCCCTAGCACTGTACTGTGACGACTACACCATGACTGAACATGGCATTCTGAGTTACTTCACATTCAAAAACACGGCTGATGGTGCTTGAGTTTTGTACAACATTCCTGGACTCAAGAAATGATACAGAGAAATAAACAGGCAAAGGAACAAAGCTGACACCAAACAAAAACGGCATCAGTGTGGCGCTGCGTGGCCCCCAGAGCTCCCGGCACCAACAGGATCCCATCTCTGAACCTTCCCAGACTTGCTCCTTGACACAGGAACTACGCCTGTGGTGCCCACTGCTCCTTTCCTCCCACCCTTCTACTGACCCCGCTCATCCGTCCTGTCACTTCTGGGGCTGCTCAATGCTCCCAGAGAGAACTATGAATGGAGTGGGCCAAAGAGCAGCTCGGCTCCTCGTGCCTCAGTGGGCCAGGACCCAGGAATGAGGACATGGGGCCCAACCTCCCAGGCAGATAATTAACTCTGACAAGGACCCAGGAGGGCTGGACACGGGGGGGCAAATGTGAGTAAATGAAGCCAGCTGTGCAAGGCTGCCTCCACAAGAGTCTGTCCAGGAAAGCCTGGGACACTCGTGGACAGAGTGGACACCAATGATGCCACTGCCTCTGCATATCACTGTACACATCCCGTGCAGCGAGGCACAGCAGACTTACTTGTATGGTTTCTGAGGCAAGATGCTGATCCGGGTCTTGTCGAGGATCTTCTTTAGCTTGTTCCTCCCTCCCACCGTGTTGGCTTTGCTCTTCTTGTTCACCTTCTCCAGGCCGATCACCTGCTCCACGTCCACCGCCAGGTCCGGGATGGAGTAGCGGCTCGCCTTCTTGATGTCTCCAATTTTAGGGAGGTGTGGGGCACCATTTCTCTTTTCTTCTGACAATCTTGTTAGAAGTTCTTTAAATACTGAAACAGACACAGAAGCATCACAAAACACCACCTGCAAGAAACCCGAACACCCCGTGGCAACCACAGAACCTGGGAATACATGAGAAGTTCGGACTCCAGTTCCCAAAACTGACGCCAAGGACCTGCCTTGTTTGCTGCTTTAGCAGTGATTAAGAAAGTGATGCACTCCTTACAGGTGTATCGGTGTTTCCCAAGAGAATACAGATTTCACTTACCGATAAACAGAGATAAAAATAACTTTATGGTCCTCAATAAGGATTTCAATTTAGATCTAATTACTTATGTAATAAAGTCTATATTTGTATTTTATTAGACTTTTATCCTTTTGTTGTTTTCAATTATAGAAATGACTACTTTCACAACTGAGATCTACATGTAAAAACACCCTCCACCCCCCAAAAAGAGAACAAAGTATGCGGAAAAATACTTACCAAATAAATTTGTTTTCACAGTGATAGACAGATGTGTGTTATTTCTAAGAATTTCCATGGCTTTTGACAGCTGGATATTTTCAAAGTTTTGACCATTTACTTCTAATATCTAAAAGTGAAATTATAAAATTAACATCAGTGTCATTACTCTGGAGAAATAAATGATGCTAAAATTCACCCTCACTCGGGGTCAGGAGCCACGCACCTGATCGCCACGCTTCAAGCCAGCCTCGGCCGCTTTGCTGCCGGGGTCCACGCTGTCCACAAAGATCCCAAAGCCCTTCTCAGAGCCGCCGAGCAAGAGGAAGGGCAGCGGGGCCTCTCGGCATGGCTTGGTCAGCGTCATGAGCCTTCGTTTGGCTTTCGCAGCACAGGCAATGTTCAACAGCCTGAGGTGGCCACCCATTTTCTGCAAGAAAACAGAAAGCTGCCAGCAGTACAGAGACAGGGGCTTGAAAGAAACCTAGAACTGGTACTTTTTAAAAATCCAATATTACCTCTCTTTCCAGGTTATTTTCAAACTCTTCTAGAAATCGAGTCATTGCAGGGTCTCCTTCGAAGTCATTGAAGTGATTGTTCACCCACAGCAGGACTACCCGTGTCACCTGAAAGGCAGTTCTGGTAAGTCACCTTGTTTTAGTGCCAAGACTGAAACCACATCACGAAAGGTACTTAAATTTCAAACAATTTACTTAATACTGCACAAACTACAACTTTCAACAGACATACTATTCATAAAAATGACTGTCTGAAAATACACGTACTTGAAATGCAGCTTCATTGGGCTAGGCCTGTGGAGGATTTAACTAAACATCTTGCTTTGCTTTTGCTTTTTGGTACCAGGGATTGAACTCATGACTTGCACTTGCCAGGAGACTGCCATCTTAATTTACTTTCAAAGCATGCTCAAAAGAAGTCAGAATGAAAGCAAAAGTACAACAAAACCAAAATAGCTTAAAACAACAGAAGAGAGAAACTAAAAGCTCAGGGTGAGAGGACAAAGTAGGTAAGGAGGTAAGCAGTGTTAGCCTAGAAAGATCCGAGAGGAAGGAAGGCGTTAAGACAGCCCTGTGTGGCTGCCTCCCCGAGGCTAGCTCGGCCGAGCCCCACGCCAACGGGGAATCTGTGTGGAACGTCCCTGCGTGGACAGGGACGGCCGTAACGGACAGCACTTCCCAGGTCCACCGAAGCAAGGTGACTGTGTGCACTCTCTCCCAGAACAGCAGGGTTCATGGGTTGAGATATTAGGCTAGTTTATGTTCTAACACATTTCCAGTATGAGTAAGTTTAAACATTTGGTGACCGATTTATTGGTGTTCGCATTTAAAGAGAAACAATCTATTTCCAAATTTGGACCTAAACATGTATAACAAGAAACGTTAATCTCCATTGTTTTGATGAAGTTTGCTGATATTCTATTAAATAGCCAAATCTGCAAGCTCACATTACAGTATTCCCCATGGAAGAGCCAGAAAGAACGCATTTCCAACCTTATCCCTGAGGGTCGGGTCGTTAAACCACTCCAGCAACTTCTTGCCCACTTCCATTGGGCTAGACAGGAATGTCCGGTAGGTCAGCAGGAAGTCCTCTATGAAGGTTGGATCCACCACCGAGTGCTCCTCCACCAGATGCATTGTCAGCCTCTCGGAGGTGCCCTGAGACAAGAAAGAGGCTTGGGCACCAGCTGGAATGGACACTGACATGGTCCTGCACGTCAAGCCTTCCACATAGTGCAAGCTGGGCAGCAGCACCCATTCATAAGCTGGGACTCATCCAGAAGGGCAGAGATCTTCTCAGTACTACTCATCACCTGCAAGAAGCATCACCTCTCAAGGATGTGCTCCCGCCTCACCTTGATGACAATGTGGCCCTTCCTGGTTCCGGTCCGGTCAAGCTCTCGGTGCTCTTTTACCATGACGATCTCTCCCTCCTCTTCAACTTTCTGCATGTTCTTCTCCACTTGGTTGAGGATACGGCAATAATCTTGTTGTGCGATGCAGACAAACTGGGAGAAAACCAAAGGCACAAGCGAAGATGAAGTGCTTGCAAAACACCTGTCATGCTAATAATTCAGTGTTTAAATGATTAAAACTGGCATTTCCCCCGTCTTTCCAATAGTTTCTAAATTAATGCAGTAATAAGCCTTAATCAGGCTTCCTTACTCATAATACATTTTCTTCATTACTCAAGAAAAGTTTAGTTTTTAGAATATGTATTTTACATTCAAAGTGCCACCAATTAAAAAACCGGAAGGCAAGGTACAAGGTCTTTCCTCAAACTTCTTTCCCAGTGGGGTTTTCTGGGCCAACAGACAAAAAAATTATCTTCTGGATTTCTTCTGAAGATTTTCTAAAATTAACGATTTTATAAAATTAAAAATAATGGATTTCTAAAATTAACGATTTTCTAAAATTAAAAATAATGGATTTCATGAAAGACACAAATTCAGAAACACTGTATACACTGCTGGTCATAGGGATGAGAGGTCGCAGGCAGCCACAGAATGGCCAGTCCCTTCTGCTGAGAACAGTGATCCAGCGCTGCAGGGGGGTGGGGGAGGCTCTGTGCCACACCTAGAAAGCTTCCAGGCTCCGGGATGTCCCTTTCCTAATGGTTCTAAACAAGTTAAAAGTCAGCGTGGTGGGCGCTCTGGCGTCCTGGACAGAACATCGTCGCCCTCTCCGCATGGTTCTGTGAGCGCTAATAAACTGTCGGGACTCGCGGCTTTCGGATTCTAAAACAGACACTGGACCGGTGAGGCATGCGCCACTCATCTCGGCCCTGAAGGAGCCTGAGGCAGGAGGATTGCAAACGTCTCAAAAAATAAAAGGGCCTGGGAATGTAGCTCAGTGAGAAGCCCTGGGTACCAACCCCCATATGAAGGCAGGGAGGTCACACAGAAAGGGCCTGAACTGACCAGCACTGGTCTGGTCTGTCAGAGCCCAACAGGCCACTACCACTGCTGCCTTAGGAAAAGTGCCCCTGCAGGCCGGGGTCCAGGATCGGATGGCACCCAGAACCTGGCGCAGGGGCTGGGCCTGCAGTCATGTGAGGGCCCGAAGCAGTCCCCTCTGCACCCCACTGTCAGCAACCTAAACCCAAACAGCTGCCTGGCCTAGTGGCCAGGGAGTTCACTGCACAACATAGGCCCTACCCCTACCCGGTAAACCACAGCGTGCACTTTAAAACACAGCGCCTCACAGGGAAAATGCAAACATCGCTCACTACACAACTAGAGGTCAGTGAGGCGGCCAAAGCAGACACCTGAGCAAATAAAAACCAGCCATCTTTATGAAATGGTCGAATGAACAGCAGATGGGTTTTTTCCTTCTTAACGGTACCAAAGATGGAACTCTGGACCTCATGCTCACCAGGCAGGCGCTTGTGACTTTGCGCTAATGAAAACGAAGCCACTGGTCAGAGCTCCACTTTCCAGGCTCCGGCGTCCTCACGCTGCTCTAGCAGGACACCCCACAAAAGCCGGGGATGCCCCACACCATCACCGTCCGGGGTGGCCTCAGCCACCCAGCACCGCCCACACTGACCTCTCCCCACCCTCACAATCACACACAGGCGACTTTTACACTTGTGCACCTCGACAGCGGAAGCCACACAGATACAGCGTTTCTGCGTGCAGTAAATGGGAGTAGTTTAACTCGACTTCCAAAAACATCCCATTTCTTCGACATTGGGGAACAGAGAAAATGCTCAGATGAGAAGGGGAACAACGGAGAGGCGAGGGAGAAAGCAAAGAAGGAACCAGGGGCAGGAGGGGAGGGGTAAGGATAGAAGGGAAAAATGGAAAGGTTTTATACATAAAGAAGGTAAGAGAGGTTGGAGGGCGGGAAGGGGAATGGGAAGAAGCAGCGGCCTGACTCATCAGGTACAGGGCACGCTCCTTCCTGGTGAATGCTAATATGTGCATCTAAAGTGCACCAGTAAGATAAAGACATTTATAAAATCCCATTTCTGTAACACGGACCATCCAAAATTGTTCCCCAAATTTGAATATGAGATTTAGAAAAGTTTTATTTCCAAGTAATTTTAGGTGTTTTTTCTTATAGTCAAGTTTTAGAGAACATAATTAAAATTTTCTCATTTATCGTCTAACAAAGAAATACAGTCCTGTGTTAAGTAAATAAATTTGGGAAAGAAAATGCTTTTTATAAGAGAGTGTCCAATGAATTAATCTTCTTGACTGAAGATTGACATGAGATAGGATAAATTTGATTTGAAATTCATAAGTATCTACATATTTTGGCATTTCTTCTGGGTCATACTAAAAGGCTATCAGGAATCAAGAGGACCTCAAAGTCAAGGTATTTAAAAAGAAGGTTTTATTTGGAATTGTTTATCTTCTTTATTAGGAACTTATTTCTACTTTAAATGAAACTCCCGAATAAAACCTAACTTGTGTGATAAAAGTTGAAAACTTATGAATTGTTCTAGAGGTTTTAGACTTTTGGGCAGATGTGAACAAATGGGAATTCTGTGTCGTCTTAGCATCCTCACAGGAAATCAAAGTTCAGATTTACTTACAAAAAACAAAAAAAATCAACAGGCAGGCTGGAAAGCTAGCTCAGTGGCAGAACACTGCCTGGAATGCCTGGGCCCTGGGTTCAAACCCCAGCATGGCAAAAACAAACAAACAAAAAAATCCCAGCATATGACATCATATTTTATTTTGAAGTAGAAAACTGCAAGTGATATAAGAATGAAGCAAACTTAAATCTCGATCAACATGCTGCACAGATAACTGGCCTATTTGGCCAGGCTGCTTTCTCACCCAGACTCCTCACCTTCAGTGTCACGTGCTCCCATGGCACCGCAGCTCCGCAGCCACGAGTCTTGTGCAGGCTGACTGCAGGAGGTTGATCTGTCTAAACCGGAGCTGTGCCCACATCACTGAAGGGTGGGAGCAAGTCCCACACACAGGCCAGGAGTGAGGCAGAGGGGAGAGACGGCGAGGACGAAGGGAGACAGGGGCACAGGAGAAGGGAAGAGAAGAGGTGCCTGTCTGGTGGTACCGCAGGGTCTGGACCAGGCTCTGACTCTCGGTAAGAAGCAGCTGGAGACAAGGGACCACAGGACAGAGGAGGGACCCGGTAGCTTGGGCTCCCAAGATCATTGTGGCACTCCACTCACCACCTCACTCTCTGCTGTGCCGTGAGCTGGGCACCACTCCTCTCACCAGCGAACACTTATCTTGGACCCGCTGGTACAATAGAAGACAGGGACGAACCCTAAGCAAAGTTCTTTTTCTTGCACAAGCTCTCACTGCTTTTGTTCATTCCAACTGGTGACCACCGATAGCATGTAACATGGTCTGCAGAATGACAGGACACCAGGGGCCACTGTACGATGGCCCCACCTGTTACCAAGAGGCAGGGATGATGTGCGTGTTCCTCACAGAGTAACGAGATTTTAATGAAGGACGCTAAGATGCCATCCCGAACAAGCACTCACATGGTAGCTATGGGGTGGCCATCACTGCTGTGGTTTTAAGGGTGCATCCCAGCAACCCCTGCATTAGCATGCTCCTCTGATGCTGGCATGGGGCAGAAGGCAGAGCTGGCTTCTCTAGCAGCTTGCTTGCCAAGCACCTATCCACTTCACAGGATGTGTGTGTGTGTATATGGGTGTGTGTGTGTCTACCTTGCTACTGCCGTCTCCCAGCAACGCTTCCCACCACCAACATACTATACCCTCCCTAACCCAGGGCCTCCATCCTTCCCCCTCGCTTCCGGAGCCCTTAGGGAAATGGCCACCGTTACCTGGTACAGCACACATTCTTGAGCACTGTGACCCTTATCACATAATACTTCTATTACTCATTCTGAAATACTTGTGCGTCTCCTACCAATTCAGCCCCATGGTCACAAAATTTCCAACAAGGCAGTCTGGCCCGTTCAGGAGCATTAATACACATGCTGAACTCCCAACGATGAAGCAGCCCTTTCCTGGCCACAGGGAGACTCTGTCTCAAATGTTGCTGTAGCTGCAGCATGAAGAAGGAAGGTTGGAAGGGGACAGGGCACAGGAGGAGGAAGAGAGCTTCATCTCCTGGCTTGCTCTGAGCCTGTTTGCTTCAAGGATTTCTCTGGACCACACAGATGCCACACAAAGATGCCCCATGCCACACAGATTCTGGGATTTATAGATGATTCTGTTTTCTCCCATTACTCTAAATAATTGAGAGGTCACTACACAGTATGATTTTCTGGCATTATATATTTAAAACATTGAATTGAAAAGTAATTTGGGTCAGTACTATTTTACTTATAGCCGTGGTCATATTGATTTTATTAAGTTTACATGCATGAAATAAAGAATTTCTATAAGTGATGCCATTTTACATAGCTCAGACACTACAAAACGTGTTCTTTCTTTTAGAATAAATTATATTCAGAGCATGTTCAGACTACATTAAAAATAAAATCAGTACAAAATTAATTAGTGTATGTCAAATTTTTAAAACAATTTATCTTTAAGACAAAAATTTTTAGACGGTAGTAAATTACAAATAGCAAAAATTTTGAATTTATTCATAATATATAAGTTAATCTAAATTTCATAGTTGGGGCTAGGAGTATGGCCCAGTGAAGCAGCACTTGCCTAGCATGCACAAGACCCAGGGTTCAGTCTTCAAAACTGATATAAATTAGTTAAAACTTTTATCTAGAACATATAAACAATTTTTAAAAAAACAGACCCCCCTATATTACCACCGCTGGGGACCCAGAGGGTGAGCCACCCAGCCGAGCGGAGGCCGGCCCTGCTGCTGCTTCTCCCATCCGGGGACTATACTACCACCGCTGCGGACTGGAAGGTGAGTGAGTGCCCAGCCCAGTGGAGGGGACTCAGGTCCGCCCGCAGCCTCCTCTGGCCAAGGAGCACACCACAGCTGCTGGCCGGAAGGAGGGAGCTGGGCAGAGCTGCTGAAACCTGCACTGAGCTCGCCTGTGACCTTCTTATGATCTGGAGAGCACCAGGGCTACTGCCACT